AATCTGTCGACAAAGAAAAACAAAGATGAAGCAAAATTCACATCAAATGATAAGGCAGGAGTGTGAACTAAATGGCAACATAAATGTCTAGATTTGGGGAAGCTTACAACAAAGTGGTCCTCTAGTGTTGGAAGCACTATACTACTAGTAATGAACTCTATTAAATTAGAAAAAAAGTATAAAGACAAACAAATGAAGCTAGGATACACAACCCACAATTTCTATAATAGAATGATGGAAGATGAAATAAAAGGAAGAAAAACACATTCTAATGATAAACAAATGTCCAATCTTCATCTTGAACTTGCATGATTTTATTTCACTTGTGGCAGAAAGATTGATAATTTTCATGTAGTACTAATTTTACTTGGGAAAGTCACGTCATTTATTTAATGGCATAAACCTACTCTACCAGTTCCTTGGAACTGTTTGGAGTTCCATAAATACCATTCAGTCCCATTCATCTTTTTGTGAACTTCAGTAGAACCTTTAAAGGAATTTCTATGAATAACTTCTAGCAACACTGAAGACATACACAGAAGCATTCTCATATGAAACTGCTTTCACCAAAAATAACTAAATTTAACACACAAACTAGCAACAAACTTGAAGAAAACAATAACTCAATCTGAGATATAAGAGACCAAACATCTGGACCTCGGGCCAAATTCCATAGAAAATTATGCTATCCGTTTCAGCTATAAAACCATTGGTCAAATTATTAGATGCTAAAAGATCATTTCCAATCATCAACCACACTGCTACCATCCACAATTTCCCATAACATAACCATCCACAATCATTCAAATAACGAAAAAAATAAAATCCGACTAGAACTTTAAAAATTTACACTAACCGATTCAGCAATCAAATAGAAAAGAAATGAAAACCGATCGTTTAACCAATAAGTTAATTCACGAACTGAAGCTCATACTGCCATTTCGAAAGGAGCCTTCACCATTAGAGAAATTTGGCAGGAGATTAGAATGAAAAAAGACAAAGTCCCTTGGCACTCCCTTATATGGTTCCCTCACCATTTGCCCAAGCATAGTTCGATTGTATGGATGGCTCTTTTAGATAGACTTCCTACTCGTGACCGACTCATTCGTATGGGGATTTCAACTAATGGAATTTGTGTCCTATGTAATGAAATGATGGAAAGTCGTAATCATTTGTTCTTCGATTGCTCTTATGCTTCTTTTTTGAGGGAGAAAATTCTTCTCCTTAATGGACTAAAGAAGACAATTGATTCTTGGGAGAATATGGTAACTTGGGCTTCCAACATATGGAAAGTAAAATCTCTTATCTCTACAATTCTTAAACTTGCTTGGTGTGCAAGCATCTATGTCTTGTGGGAGGAACGCAATCGAAGAATATTCAAAGGATCCTCAAGGAAAAGAGAAGAAATCCTTAGCAACGTCAAATAATTCGTAGGAATTAAACTAAGGGGGAAAAAGATAAATAGGCTTGATTATGTAAACTCCAATCTTTGTATATCTTGGGGTATCGATTAGCCGATCGTTCTTTTATAATTAGGTTGTATATTATTTTTTCTGATCGGTGATTTTTGTAGCAGACATTGCTTCTTTGGGTAATAAAAGCTTAATTATCCAAAAAAAAAATTAATTCACCTCTACGTTGAGGGTCTTGCCTTCGTGACTCTGAGACGGCTCCGAGGGTCCCCAAACAGACTGAGGAGGAGCGGTTGTGGCATAATAATCATCGTCGTCTTCATCATCGACATCGGCCCAGGATTTGGCAGTGAGAGGTGCTGGAGCCCAAAAGATCTGCGGCTCGGGTTCTTTCTGCGGTTGCTGTTGGTGAGACTTGGAAGAAGATTTTTTAGAAGAACCTCGGTCCTTGTCAGACTTCTTCTTCTTCCTTAGAGTTTCGAGAGCAGCAAACACGTTGGTGTTGTTGATCACCATAGATCCTTCGTCTCTCCTGCTTCCTCCTCCCGCCATCTTTCCCTGTTTCCCTCAAATCAAATAACAAAAACAGTCGATTCGAAAAATATAGGATAGTTTTTTTCTCAAAAGTAGTCAAAAATGCGGAGATCGAGATGCTATAAAGAGAGATTTAGATTTGATTTTTCTTTATGAAAATAAAAATAAAACTGTGATGGGACGGGATGATTGTTTAGGGTTTGTTGTAATTGGGTACGAGAGGGGCGTTTGTTTGTCGGGGAAAAGAGTTTAGGGTTAGAAATGAAGCGTGTTCGTTGCGGAGTGTATGGTTAGGTTATAGTGGGACTGGACGAGATAACGCAAGCTGGGTAATAGTGTAATGAAATTGGGAACGTGGATGAGATGTTTAAAGAAATGTAGTTTAATATAAAGTTAAGAAAATATATTATTAGGAATGTTAATATTTTTAATAAAAATTTATTTAAAATGTTTTTTTTGACCAAAATTATTAATATCGAACGTTATCTAAAATATTTTTTTACCAAAAATAATAATATCAAAAATATTTATTTTAGATAATTAAATTAATATTTCGAGTAAAAAAATAACATTTTAAATAACGTTCTATCGAAAATATTAAAAATATATTAACATTTCTATTAATATTTTTTGGCCTTATATTAGACTGTAGTATACGAGAGGTGGACAAAATCCAAACAAATATTTTCAAGAAATTACAATCTGAGGTAAAAATCTCGAAACGCGTCGGCACAAACCAAATCTAATTTTACCTTGGTTGTTTGTAACAAATGAGAATGAGATCTCCTTTTGCACCCGCAAATCTTGAACGCAAAAAACAATAAGTTAATTACATCCTATGTCCCTAAATTATAACTTTTATTTTAAATTAATTCTTAAACTTTTAAATATTTCAATTTCATCTTCAAACTATGATTCTCATTTTAAATTAGTCTTCAAACTTTTAAAATTTTAATTCTATCCCTAAATAATGAATCTCATTCTAAATGAATCCCTAAACTTTTGAATATTTCAATTTCATCCTAATATTCGTCCAAATATGCAATTAGTTTCAACCATAATTGGACCTAAATTTTATTTTATTTTTCCAAACATATAATAATATAACTTGACATAATGGTTTTATTCACAAGGATGTTATTAGCATATATATCTATAGTTTAAGATAAAATTGAAATGTTCAAAATTTTTGGGGTCAATTTAAAATGAATGTCATAGTTTAGGAATACAATTAAAATATTCAAAAGTTTAAGAATTAATTTAAAATGATAATCATAATTTGAGAATAAAATTAAAATATTTAAAAGTTCAAGGATCAATCTAAAATAAAGACCATAATGCAATAACATATTATGTAATTAACTGAAAAAATGACTTCTTTTTTACACTTTCACTAATTAGTAGAGAAAATAGTTTGGTAAAATGATTTTAAGACTAAAGCAATTATCATATTTATTTAATCTTTTAAACCTTTAAAATGTTTTAAGTGTGTAAATTTAATTTTATTTATTTTTAATAATTCCTACCTAAGAGAGGGAGGAGGAATTTTCGTTATTAATGAATATTGAACTCACAAGTCGCAACCTAAGAGAGAAGAGAGATGTCAATTGAAATCTTTTAACCATATATTCTAGATATTGTTGACTATAAATTTAAATTATAAATTTAAATTTTAAATTTGATACAAATAAAATATAAATCTAAAATTTCAAATTCTTATTTTCAACCGAAACATTAAAACACATGTATCGTATCTTAAGACCGTCATAAATTATATTTTTCATTAATAATATGTCAATTATAACATTTTTAATGTTCCTATTTATAATCGTATAATTGATATAATATAAACATAATAAGATAAAATAATTTCTATTAATTTTAAAATAATTTGAGAAACCATAGAAATGCTGGGAAAATAAAGTGAAATATCTGCTCACAGTTTCAACTGTTTGCAGCAAGGGATCAAAGACATAGTTTTGGTAATCTACATCAGAAGGCCACGTGTCCTAGCAGCAGGGACATGAGAAAAATTTGCATTGCTGCCAAGCAAACTAGAACAAACATATTCTTCATTAGAGGATCAACATTGTGAGTCCTCCCAAACACATTGAAACATATTTTGAGTATTTACATTATGTTAATGAACTTAACATCGAAGTTTGGGCAAAACCCCTCATGTTGTTTCATCTTGAAAAATAAATTCATTTAAGTAATAGGGATAAATGCAAGATTTTATGTTAAACGAGACATCTTATAAATTTTTAAGAGAATATGAGCTTATAAAATTTTAAGAATAAAAAAATAATAAAAAATATCTAAAATATATAAGAATTTAAAATTTTTATTGGAGACAACCGCCTCTCCCACGCTATCCATCCATACACATAAGACTTATTCTCTAAACATAACCAACACTAAGTGGCGTACGTGTTGAGCTAATCTGTTAATAATATAGGTTTATTAATGTAATTGAATGAAATTTAAAGCTTTTAATTTATATGTAAGTTAATATTAAATTAAATAATCTAAAATATAAATTGTCCCAATCTAATTTTATTTGAAACTATGGATTTTATAGTGTTGCATAATCAAACCATGCATACGTAGGCCAAAGAATGATAATATTTAATTATTTACAAATTGTTTTTTTCTCCAATCTTTTTATAGTTTTAAATATTTAAATAAAAGAAATAGTAAAGTGGAATCTAGTGTGAGCAAAATTCAACGGCTAAAAAACGGTCATCTAACCGTTTTCCCGGCAACTTTCTCTCTTCTTGTTAGTTTGATGGTTTCTTTTCAATCATCTTCTCATTTCCTTGTTTTCTCTCCGCCGAATAATGAAGGTGGAGATACTAATTTGTTTCCTAAGAAAATTTAATTTCATCAATTTACCAAATGGATCTAACGAAGCTCGAAACTTAGCATTATCATGTTCTTCTCTGTCAAAACCATTGTAAGCATGCCTAGTGATTTGGGATTCTGAAACGTTCTGGATGAAGGAAGGATAAACTTTTTGTTGTTGTTGCTGTTTTTTTTTTTGTCTGGAAAAAAATGCGGGATAAGAAGAAATTAAAGGATGACGAGAGGATCGAGGAGACAATTCGATCTCTTATCAAACTTCCCGGAAATAAAAGATGCATCAATTGCAATCTTTTGGTATACTTTCCCTTTTCTCTTGTTTGTTTAGATATTTCCCCAAAATTATCGGTGATAGTATTAAAACATCGATTTAGAAAGCAAATTGAAATCTTAACATTGATTAACTTCTCTTCTCACAGGGTCCCCAATATGTTTGTACCACTTTCTCGACTTTTGTTTGCACCACCTGTAGCGGAATACAGTAAGTTTTAGTACAAATGTTCCTGCTTCTATTACATTTTCTTGAGTCTGTCGAGTTAAATTTTCATATATGGGATCGGCTCCCAATAAGAATGAGGTTCTGAAAGGGCAGATTGCAGAATAGTGACTAGTTTACTTGATATTTGACTGCAAGCATGTTTAAACTATTTCAGTAGGGAATTCACTCATAGGGTGAAATCAGTATCAATGGCCAAATTCACCGAAGAAGAAGCGAGTGCTCTTCAAGCAGGAGGGAACGAGGTCCGTGATGAACAGTCACTACTGCTATCTTTGATTCCAATTTCTTTGTTTCTAACTTGCTTCTCGTTATTTTTTGCAGCGAGCAAGACAAATTTACTTTAAGACATGGGATCCTCAACGCAATTCTTTACCCAATTCCAGGTAATCAAGCATCTTTTTCGCCTGGATTTGTTTACGCTTCATTAAGAATCTGTCCCGACTCATATATGTTTGCTTTCAGTGACCTTCCTATGCTCCGAAATTTCATCAAGAATGTCTATGTGGATAAGAAATACACTGGTGAGACGCTTCCAAATCCGGGATTGGTAATGTTTCTGGTTAACCTTTTTATACATACATATTATACTTCTATGTATTCTTTCTTGCCATAGTCGATCAACTTATAATATTAAAAACTTCTAGTTTGACAAGTTTGGGACAGATTAATTTTGTACTTGTGGCATAGTTTAACAAGTTTATTTTTGGTGCTCTCTGTCAAATCCCACTCCAATGTTTACTTTTAATAGATTTGTCTACATATAATACAGCGATACATAGCGCAATCCCCTGAAAAGAAGAAGGTCATCGTGTTTACTAGATCCAAAACTACCCTTCATGAGGGTAGACAAGAATATGGAGGATCTAGTCCTGCTGGAAGAAGTGGTGCTGTTAGGGTTATCTATACTGAACCAAGAAGTCCTCGACTTCCCAAAGAAAATTCTAGATATGAATTTTCACCTAGAAACCATCGGCAAATTGAGATTATCGATAACAGGAGCCGACATGATGGTCCTGGAAATGCCATACGAAAAGATAACCACATCATTCCAAAGAGCAAACATGTGAGAAGCAGGTCATCTGACCACCTAGATAGGTTTGTTTCTCCAGTGGTGCGCCCCATTAGAGATATTTTGGGAGAGAACGTTCCTGCCTTACAGGTGGGTGAACATTCAAAAGAAAAATCTAGAAGTGACCCTGATGCTCCTGCTCAAGACCAGGTGACGTTGTTACTTCTTTAAGTAATATGACTCTAATGGCGTTCCTTTTCAGAGGTTTGTCGTCGATCATTCTTTTATTTTGATTCTAAGAAACCCAATTGATTAGTATTACTCGCACACACAATGGTGATTCAGAAGTATTTAACAGGCAAGTGAACCTAATTCAGATATGAAACTCTTAACAGAATTTCATGTGCATATTTGAATAATTTTTTTAGTATTTGAATGGTTAATACATATAAATATATTTGTGAATGAACTGATGATGGGAAACAAAGATCTTGATTTCTTGGAAGGATCATGTGTTTTTTAATTGAAAATTCAGAAGTTAAACTTTCAAATAATTTAAAGAAGAAAAAGAAAGACAAAAGAACTAAATTTGAAAGAACAATGTAAAGTAAAATTGTTGATGATGATACCCTCTTTTAGAAGAGTTAGTTCTAAACAACGGTGATTTTGGATTGAAACCTCTAATTCTCGATGATGAGTTTAGCAATTCAGACAACAGAGAAAACATATTAACGCATTGCATTGCAATTGGGTACTCATATTTCAAATAAGAAACAAAATAAAAATTTTAAATAAATAAAAATTATTCTCAAATAGACTTTAAAGAAATATATTTTGTATTAAAGTTATATGTTGAATGCAGAAAGAAAATTGCCTGCTACAAAAATCCTAAATGTCCTAGAAACATTTTTAGGCAAGCTGTCTTCACTAGAACGGATATAACTCGAGCTTCAAATTTCAACAGTTCATAAGAAGATATTTCAACTCATAAATGTTCGAATATCATCCGAAAAATCATCGCAGAAGCTGTGGATTACCTTTCTGTATTCCATGCAGCGTTTCAGAGGACTATTCACTTATGCTGTTATTTTTATGCTTCGCAGAAGAACTCATCATCATCTAGTGGCATGGAAAACTTGATTGATTTCAGCATGGATGCTCTGCCGCTTAATGCTGAGGCAGCACCACATCTGCTGCCAGTGCCGCCGTCAAGTGACGGTGGTAACCAGACAGATGAACTCTCCTCAAAGGGAAAAGCACCTCCCGCATCCAATGCAAACCCCTTGGATCTTTTACTATTTGATCTTTCAGCTCCCTCAGTGGTACCTGTTGATAATGTCACAGCAATACCAGGCACTGCAGGTGCTCCCTCGACTGCATCTGGACAGAAAATTTCATTGAACATTATTTCTCCAGCAACACCTGAGGGACATATCTTAGCATCGACAAGTAAAAAAGGCTCCTCACCAGTTCCAACATCTATCAATGTCCCACAAGTACAATCTCCTTACGGGAATGTCTTTCCCAGCATGCAAAAGCATCAGTCTTCCATGTTTTCTGCTTCTGATAGTAGCTTTTCTGCAGAACAAAGTCCTCGAACAGTTGAAACATTGAATAACCAGGTAACCATCGGAGTTGATTTGAAGTTGGTGGAAATTAGAGAAACCTGAAGAATGTGCCTTGTAATTTGATAAAATGTGTGAACTTCATTGCACTTGCTAATTCTGTTGCTTCATGGTCATATTTGCAGCCTGGTATGTTGTTGCCAATGCAAAATGCTCAACAATCTTCCAATTTATCTACTGAACAATTTTCCGATGCCACGTCAAAATCAGCTGAAGAAACTAGTTCTAAAGACAGAGTGCAGCCTCTTTCAGCAGAAACAAAGTCAAGTGGAAGAAAGGAACTTCCACAGGTGAAGATTATATTCTGCTTTATCTGACGTTTATGAATTCTCTTAACAGGGTTTCTTCCATGAATCCCTGCAGGATCTCTTTACTGAAAGCTATGGATCCTCCCCTGGTATGTTCGATGCCCATTTCTCAGGAAAAGCATCTCATTCATTGCATTTTGCATCTAAGATGACTCCAGAATCATTTTTCACATTCGCAATGCCTTCTAGTAAACTCTGTTCTCTTCTAATCGTGCTAAAAGTTCGATATTAATACGGTATTTCTCATGTTTACAAGGAGTTTATGATCCTAGGTGTACATTGGGAATCAACCAAACCGTGGAGTTCCACCTTCTAGGTTACATTTCATTCTGGCACTCTTTTATCTGCAGTTCTGCATCTATCACATATATTAAGACAAGTTAAAAATACTGTTTTCCTTGAGCTCGCATGCATATCAAGCTTAAAAACGATGTTCTGTTAAAGAGACTTGCTGTTAAGAGTTATAATCACCATTGCAGCCCACAAGGAAGAGGTGGCTCAGGCAGTGATAAACTTAACTCGGTTTCTTAAATGCAACTCAAGAACCTGCATGTGGACAAATCTAATCCGACCTACAATGGGAGCAAATCCTTTGGATAAAGGGATAAAATGATACCCAATCATACTCCCCTTCTTCTTTTTTTTGGTTTGAACAGTCACCATTCTGTACGTATATTCTCAAGGCGATGGAATCCGCCCTGTAAACTTCTCATAGCCATTATTTATTTTCTTTCTTCCCGATTGGTTTGATCCCGTTGTCCATTTTCTTTAAATTTTTCTTTGTTTATCTGCTGAAGTCATCATTTTATAATGACTGTAATCCTGTAAGAGTATTGTTACATCCACAGGAATCCAAATATGCCGAACATTTCGTGTTGCGATCATTTTCTCTTCTGTTATTGCATTGCATGCATGAGTTGATTGCTAAGTATCTAAATTTGAAAAACAAGTTAGTGTCGTCCAAACAAGTTAAGACTTTTTTTGTTAATTTCTTAGCCATGATCAAGCAATACAAAAGGGACTTAGTATAAGCAGCACAATGAAATATAACTCGTATCGCATTATATAATGTATCATAGATATCTAAGAAAGAACTAAACAAAACTGTGCAAAATTATTATTACATTTACCAAAATTCCCTAACAAAACAACCCTCAAAGTATCAAGTAACAGACGAATGGGTAGTGTAAAGGGATTGTATTCTTTTCTCCAGGGCCTCTTCAAATATGACCAGTTACCACATTGATGATCCGTTTTTTTATGTTCAAAGAAGTTTCTTCAATCCAGCTTTACCGAAGAAAATAAATAATGCACAAACCAGAAAGACGAAAGGAATCCAATTGTGCCCGTTGCAAACATGACTGCTAGAACCATGAAGAAAGAATACCCCAAGTAGAGAGTGGCAGACACAGGTCCACTCAAGCTCTTAAGATCAAATATGAGATAATTTATGGAGTACAAGAAGATGTAGATAGCAACTGAAGCTGAAGCTAAGAAGGACTTCCACCACCATTTCCAGTCCTCCACACAGCGATGCATGTAAGTTAACACCAAAGATACTTCAGCGCAAACCACAAGAAGCAGGATCAGAACAATGAGCAGAAAGCCAAAGACATAGTAAACTCGCCCCATCCAAATGCTAGACATTATGAAGAAAAGCTCGATGAAAAGCGTACCAAAAGGAAGAGTCCCAGCACCAAGAACCAACAGCCAGGATGGGTACTTTTGAGCTGGAATTTCCCGAGGGACCTGGTTGGTTCGAACAGCGTATTCAATATGAGGTGCTTTAGCCCCAAAGTATCCACCAACTAGGGTGAGTGGAACCGAGATGCAGAACCAAAGTATAAGTAGAATAACAAACAGAGAAAATGGAATAGCTCCTGTGACGTGACTTCCCCACAACAGGAAATTCAAAGTGGTTAGTATCAAGAAGGCAATGCCAGGGAAGAAACAAGCAGCCTTCCAAGCGATAGAAGCCCGTCCCTTGTGATCTCCACAGCCAATCGTTCTCCAAAGACGAACTCTGCAATACCAAGAATCAGGTAGAAAAATAGCATACCAGTAATAAGAGTTCCACGGGATGCTGGTGACATAAATCTGAGAGCAGAAAATAATATTGTTACAACAGCCATCCCAAGGATCTGAACTCCATCCCCAACCATAACACACAAAAGAGTAGGATTAGATGGTGCACGAAAAACATCCCCAACAACTAGCTTCCACCCAGATAACTCCTCGGTCATTTGTGATTGGGCCTCCCTGTCAAGCTCCTCATAACGGGTAAGATCCCGCCTGATGGTCCTTAAGAAGATCACAAGGACAATACCAGCAAGGAAAGTGATCACCATAAGAGAATTCAAGATTGAGAACCAATGAACTTTGGATCCCTCCATCTTCAAATAAGCACCCCAACGAGATGGCCACTTAATATCACTCTCCTCAAAAGCAACCTCATAGGTGAAGACAATTGGCTCGCCTTCCTTGATGGGCATTGACACACTAGTTGGGTCACATTGGATCGGAGATGGCTACTTTTCATGCATTTTCAAGTTCCTAACCAAGTTACCATTATGCATGACATTGCAAGGAACCACCTCAAAACCAACAACCATATACCCAGGCACGGCTGATTCCCCATTGTCAATACCGGGAATAACCTCAGCATCTCCAGTCCCCATCATACGTGCCACATTCGTTTCCTCATACCTATGAACAAGCACCTTAAATTTCAAATGGTTAAACACATAATACACATCCTGAAACTTAACCCCAACAGGATATCCGGTCCACCTCAAAGTAAGACCTTCTTTCCTAGTATGTCTTATTGCAGGCAAATTTTCTAGAATCAAGTTAACTCGATACATCTCATCAATCCTCTCCTTCAGCAACTTAAAATCATCTGCCGATAAATTATCGGATTGACACAAGAAGATCCGAGTCTCATTAGTATACATCTTAAACCTATATGGAGAGTTCTCAATCCGATCTCCCAGAGAAGCTCACCAAGGTTCTCAGCACTATCCTTAACACCCTCTTTAGGCTTACAAAAGGGTAAACTATAATAGCTAAAGGGCATTTCAGTGTCAATGGAAGTCAGGGAATTCACTTTGACAGACAAATAGCCTCCAACCAAATGTTTGTGAGGGTAACTACCAGGCAGATTAAAGCCATATCCAGATTGAATTATCAAACATATTGCCAACACCCAGATCGCAATAATACCCATTAAGTCCAAATTTTATCAGATCAGGGAAAACCCAGATCGAGAAATGGGATTATAAGCAAAACTTTAAGAGAACTTCGATGTTGGGTTTGTAGTAAACAAAAATCTAGCAGTAATATTGAAGAAAGTATGGAAGGAGAAATGGATCTGACTAACCTTTAGAAGGAGAATCAGGATTGCCTGAGAGAAGAAGCAAAGGGTCTCGATGAAGAAACATACAGAGATTTGGGCCTGTTAATTTTACTTTTTAAATTTCCAGAGGACAAGGAAAAAGAGAAATAATTAGTGATGGTCATGGGAGGCACCGATAACGGGTCTTGTACAACTGCGTCTGCACGTTTTCTGCTTAAACCCGTATTAAGTAAGAGCATGCTAATAAATTGAAGTTTCTGACTAAACCCACTTCAATAAACGGAATTAAATTATTACCTACTAAATTTGACATTTCTGCTGCTACATAAGATTTTGTCATTTTTCTGGCCTTAGCTCGGGAATGTTTCGTTTACAACACAAAAAACAAGGGTTAATTATACTGACGATCCCTTTTGTTTTTGGTTTATTTTATTTTCATTATTAATTTCGAAAAATTTATGTTATTGATTTATTACATTTTGGTCATTGAATTGTTAATTCCGACCGGTTATTTTTTTAATGTAATAAGTAAGTAAAATGTTTAAATTTTTACTTGACCATTAAATTTTAGATAGAACATTAATATGACTCTCAACTTTAGATAAAATATTAATTTAATCTTTAAATTTTAAATAAAATATCAATTTATCACGTAAATTCAATCAAAATCTCAGTTGTCGACCATTTTTCATCATTGTCATAAGTCATCATCAATTGCTATCACCGGTCACCACTGATTACTATCATTGACAATAGTTAAAAACCTCATTCTGAGTTTTCAGTTCTAATTTTTTCACCTACTAAAACAATAATGGAGAATTAATGAATAAATCATCATGAATTATATACATAGGCAAGTATTCGATCAATTTAAATTAAATTTAATAAAAAAATTTAGTTGAATTTATGAGTATCATTTTATCATTTAAACTTTATGTAAAAAATTGAATCGAGTCGAATCAAATGTATTTGTTTAGTTTTTTGTTTAGTTTTTAATCTCTCGTCTTTCTTTTACATAAAATATAAATTATTCATATTTTAAAAAAAATTAAACGTGTTTGGTGTCATCTCCCACTTAAAATAGAAAAAAAAGATTTAGTATATTTCAAATATAAACAAAAAATAGTATCTTAATCAGATATAATTGAATTTGCAGCCAGTGACGAAACTATGTTATAGTTTAATTTTGTATATTTCAGATTTTTATTTATCTAAATCTAAATCTCAATTTTAATTTATTTAAATTTGATAATCTATTTTTTGTGTGATTATTTATATTTTAAGTTTAAGTTTGATTTCTGTATCCGCCCTGCTTGCAGTGTAATATGCATGGAATTTTTTGGTCATCGGTAGTAGAAGCATGTTGCGACAAAAATTTTAAAGAAAAGGCGTTTGAATTATTTCGATTACGAAGGGGCAAGTTAGCTCCTTTTGTTATTGCCATCAACTTTAGTAATGTTTCAGTTTCAACTAATGAATGACTTCGCCATCGTCAAATTGTTGATATTTAAAACATATATTTAAATAATCAGTTATGATTTTAAAAATATTTTTAAAGATGAACACACGAATATTAATCATATAAATTTTTTTACGGATGAACACAAACAAAATTCTAAGGTGGACACAATTAATAAAATAAATAAATGTTAGAAGAAAATTCGGATTTGAGGGTAGTGGATCCGTAGTATAATATCTTTTTAATTTTGTTTGCAAAGTTAAAAATTTATGTGGGTAGATTTTGACAATAATATTTTTTAAATTTAATTTTGTAAATATAATTAATACGTTTATTTGTAACTAAAATGTAAAAGTAAAAGTTAAAATAAATTAAATGGAGTAGTATTTTTATTTTACTTGTAAACTTAAAATAAAGTTTCGATTATTATCATACAATGATGCATATATTGTAAATTGTAATGTAGTTCTTGTTTTGCAGGGTGCCTGGCTAGCCTGCAAGGTGTACGGACGAAACCCGTTTTCCAAGGTGGTCCAATGAAGTTTGAGGGCGACACGTGTTCAAAGTACGGGGAGAAGAGCGGCAGATGGGGTTATGCGGGCTCTACTGCCATGGCTGCATCATACAGTTTGCTGCCTCATTAGTAAGGGCCTCCCCATCTCTGCCGTTGTTTCCATTTTCACCCTCATCTTTAATTTCTTATATTCAAGGTTTATGTAATAAATAAATATTTAAAATATATTTTTATTAAGTATTTTTTTGATAAAAGTAAATATTTAAAGTTATCTTTTTATTAAAATAAACATCTAAAATTTTTAGTATTTTTTTAACTAAATTCAATTTTTTTGAATAATTTGAAGTATTTATAATATAATATTTAATTTAAAATCTTTATATATAATCTACAAATATAATCACTTAACTTCAAAATTTATAAAGAGAATAACAAACCTTTTGAGTTCAGTTGATCGTAATATTTCTTTTTTAATGAATTTGGAGTAAAAAATATTATGGGGTGAAAATGATGAAGGAAGAGACAAAAAGAGGCAACCAGATTGACCAACAAAAAACCGTATAAAAATTTTAACTCAAACGTCAATGGTTGTCCCCTTCTGTTCATGCTGCATCATCATCATCATCATGGATCCACCCTCCCTTTGTCTTTTTATTGCACAATCTTCCAACAACCGCGCTTTCCTTTATTCTTATTTTATTTCGATTTCTTCTCCATAACCCTTCCTTTGTTTCTCTCTCTCCCCCTTATCTTCTTCTTCTTCACTAAAGATCAAGTCCCCTCGAAACCTCTTTCCAGTTCCCTCTGACCAACACAACATGGCTTTCGATGGTTTTGTCCCCGACCATACCAAGGACATGCAAATCCTTGCTCTAAATAACCCCCCACCATCAGCTGTCGAACTCGATCACTGGGAAAGAGCCAAATGTAAGGCCGAGATAATGGGACACCCCATGTACGATCAGCTGTTGGAAGCTCACGTCGCCTGCCTGCGTGTTGCCACGCCTGTTGACCAGCTCGCTCAGATCGATGCTCAGTTGGCTAGGTCACAAGAAGTTTTGGCTAAGTACTCCTCGGCCGCTGCTGCTGCCGCCGCGGGTTCCGTTGAGGAAGAACTCGATCACGTCATGGTAATCCTTTTGCCTTCTCGTTTCCTGATCTCAGTCCTTTGTGTTTCTTAATCAGTTCTGGGCTATCTTTCTCCTTTGGGTCATCGTTGACCAACTGGTTTTAGGTTTTTCTCTTTGTTTACTTATAATCCACCGGTTATACTGATTTTTCTTTTGTTGATTTCTTTTAGCTGATAGATGTCGTTGGCGGTTCTCAAAATCAGCTAACACTTAAATTTAATCTAGCCCTTTTGTTTTCTGGTTTCCCAGGTCACTCAGTGAAAGAAAATATAGAAGAGAGAGAGAGGAGTATTAGTATGTTTTAGCTTAGGATTAGTATTTTACGTGTCAGTTAAAAGAGATATGTAAAATGAAAAAGGTTCTCGTTTCAGTGGTAAGGAAAAGGATATGTGTAGAAATGATTATTCTTCGTGATGTGAACCATCATGAGTTTTGTGCTACCTATAAGAGGAATGGCCCTAGTCATCAATATCCTAAATAACGGACCTTTTCAAGTGTTTTCCAGAAATCATTTGTCTATTGATTGTCGTAATATGTCTCCCCTTGTATTGTTCAGAAAAACGGGAATCTTTTACTTGGTTCGTGGTATATATCTTGACCATAGTTTGAGCATTTATCGTTTCTTCAACATAAGCGATCATTGGATTAATCTTTGGACTTCATGATACTTAGGAAATGGAACCTTCCATTTTTTAGGGTTTATAGGATGGTCTATTCCCCTTTTGCATGTTCTAAAGCTTTCTTATATTTTATCAACATATTATGTGTGGCATCTTTTCTGTTTGAGCATTCTCCTTTTCTTGTACTTTGATGTAGGCAAATTATGTTATATTGCTTGGTTTCTTCAAAGACCAATTGCAACAACATGTTCGCGTTCATGCAATGGAAGCAGTTATGGCTTGTTGGGATCTTGAGCAATCACTTCAAAGTTTAACAGGTAAATCTCTCTCCCTACTACAAACAGCTCCTGGAAGAATTAGCATGCCGATGCATCGTTATATTGTACCGGAGTTATGTTATTCGTTTCAGTTATATCTTGTGTTATTCCTTTTGGTACAGAGTTCAGCCAATTTTATACACAATTGTGTTTGCTAGTTCTCTACTAGTGAACAACTGAACAGTGTTTATTTTTTTTTACAGAATTATATAAGTTGTAGATTGTTAACCAATCTTTCTCTCTCAGAGCCGAAACTGGACACCATGGCAGAGCAATGCTAATGCTAGTTACTATGATCTTGTCACATTAATTCAATGGGAACAGAAAATAAGTCTATGGATGAGTCATAATATGAACTTAATCCTTCCCTGTTTATTTTGATTGTTTTGGAAAATGACTGCATTAACTGCGGATTGAAGTGGCAATGGCAAAACTTAGAGCTAAACTAAAAAGCATGGAACAGGTGTCTCTCCAGGTGAAGGCACCGGTGCAACCATGTCTGATGACGAAGATGAGGCTGTAGATGGTGACACTAGTTTGTTTGATGGAAGTTTCGATGGCTTTGACAGCATGGGGTTTGGCCCCCTCGTCCCAACCGAGACCGAGAGATCATTAATGGAGCGTGTTACGCAAGAACTGAAGCACGAGCTGAAACAGGTATGACTTTTCGAAATTAATAGTAAAATGGCTCAACAAATAACACTAAAGCTAAACATGTTCCGGTCATTTTAGGGCTACAAGGAGAAAATTGTGGACATTAGAGAGGAAATTCTGCGTAAGAGACGAGCCGGAAAGCTACCAGGCGACACCACATCGTTTTTAAAAGCTTGGTGGCAGTCACATTCCAAGTGGCCTTACCCAACTGTGAGTGTGATATGCTTTTCCCTGCCAGTTCTGATTGATCAAAATATGTTGCTTCCAACAGTTTCATGACAATAGTGTTTCCTCTTAAATATTGCTTCAGGAGGAAGACAAAGCAAAATTAGTCCAGGAAACAGGTTTGCAGTTAAAGCAAATTAACAACTGGTTCATAAACCAGAGAAAAAGGAATTGGCATAGTAACCCCTCTACCTCTCTAAAGAGCAAACGTAAGAGGTAGGCTGCTTATTCAAGAGTACCATTGGCTACTTTTGACTTGGGAAGAAGTACACGGGATGAACCTGTATTGAACACTTGGTGTAAATTAAAAAAAAAGAATCTCTTAATAGATAACTCCATGTTTGATGTTCCACTGTCGATCTGTTCATAGTAGAGGGAGTTGAGTATGACGCTGTTGCAATGGGAACGGCTAGCATTGCTTTTCAGCTTTAATCTGATGCTGATATTTGTGTGTAACAATTGTTGTTTTAGATCCTTAATTTAGAGCATGTATAAGACCGGTAAAAAAATATTAAGTCCTCTGCATAATGATGAAATGAGCATTGTTGGACGGTTCTGGGCTCATGTTTTCTTATCTGTGGACGGTATTGGCTTCTATGTCATGGGTTATATTGTAAATTATGTTCTTGAATATATATCTCTATGCAATGTTTCTACGTGCGAAGTAATTATCATATAATTAAGGTTCATTGTTGCCTATGTAGTAAATCTAATTTATCAATTTTATCTCTATTATTTTTTCATCAATTTAACCATCGAAGTTGTTTAACGTGTTTATCCCAACCCTTGAAGTTCTTTTTGACTAACAGTATGTTATTCTTCTGTATTATCAACACTAATAATTTTCAAATCAACCAATATTACAAGATGATATGACATATATTTAAAAATAAATAATAAATATTTAACATATTTACTAAATGCAATGGTAAGAAAAAAATTCAAAAATTTAACTCAATCCCTTAATATTACTAAAATAAATAATATTTTTTAGAACTTATTCTAATCATTTTAATAAAATATTTTAACCTACTAACTTAGTCCGCAGATGCGGAACTATGTGCATGGTCAAAGAACTTCAAGAGTTACAATAAATACCCTAAATAGCAGAGACGAAATTAATAAATTGGCTACATGGCAACAATGACCCTTAACTCTCTATAATTTAATAATGCATCAAAACTTTGATCAAGTTCCCACCTGCAAACATTATAGAATTAATATAAATGAATTATAAATTAATGAATTAGCAAGAAATGCCAAAAAGCAATTCAACCCTGTTTAGGTTGAAAGTTTGACATGTAGGCACCCAAGAATAGAAGTTACATATAAACATAAAATTCAGACGGTAAGTCTACTGTCAAGCAAATACAACTTCTATAAATAATATAATTAAATAATAATAAACTTAGTTCCCTTCCTCTCTCTCTCTCTCTCTCTCTCTGCTGTGTACGTTCACGCCAAGCAGCGGCACATTTACGACCACCTATTATTACTCCAACTGCCTGTAAATGCACAGTAAACAAGAGATGTCAACATTAAGCAGGTTCTCCGAAATCATATTTGAAACCAGAGTGTTTTCTGCTTATTTTTGTGGGTTTTGTCCCTTTGATTGTATTTTTGCTGCAATGGAGCGCAACTCATTTGCTATCTCGGTGAAGTTCGGTCTCTCTGATGGCTCAGATGACCAGCATCTCTCCATCAATGATCTCCATTCCGGGTCACAGCATTCTGGAACCGGTGGCCTTAGCGTATTACTTACAATGCCACCTGAACGAATTCAATTCAAGGCAAATGCTCAGTGACACAGTGTGAACCATTGGAATATAATGGTTTGAACAATTGAATTCACGAATACATTTATAAATAATGCAATTACCAATAATAGCCCCATAATGTAAGTCTGAATATGGTTCTTCTCCAGTGAGAAGCTCCCACATAACAATACCGAATGAGAACACATCCACCTAAATTACAGGAAATACCAAACAGAAACCTTGTGATATTATCATGTGCGACAGAAGTTAGCATGTATGAAATGGACTGGTAGCGGGCACTAAACTAAACAATGTGCAATCACAAACCTTTTCTGAGACAAGATTGCTGCTGCCATTCAGAAGTTCTGGTGCCATCCACGGAAGGGTTCCACGGACACCACCTGCGATCAGAGTTTGACATTTCACCTTGGATAGGCCCAAATCACCAACCTAGTACAGGAAAACTTAGCACGAGAACTGAATGAATAGTTGGGATTGAAATTGAAGTAATCATTTAAACCACTAAGCAAATGCAAGAGAACCTCCCTGTATTAAGTTAAGATAAATAAGAGTACATTGGCCGAAAAAAAACACAAGTACCGTGCAATCATGAATCACCCATTTTTGGCATCATACTTAGCTTGCTCCTGCTCTTAACAGTTGATCAAACAGCAAAAACATACCAGAAACCATAATTTTACTTTGAGAGAAACAAGGTCCTCGTTAACTCAAGGTTAAATGAAATGTATATGTGCGTACTCTTCGCACAATTGAAGGTTAATATTTCCATAACAACTTTAAATATCACAGTCGACGTCTAAAGTATAAATCAGTCGGTTATTCATATTATTAGAGAGTACTCTTGAAGAATTCAGGAATTCATTCAAAACCTTGCTCTGTCCGTGTGAACTGAATTCTACTCTTGAGCCAAATATACCCGCATAAACCTCAATCCCACAACAATACTAAGAACATTTAACATATCAGGCAACTCAATCACAAAATTGCTCTCCTTGAGAATATAATACAACTTTAAACTTGCCAACTTAACGTACTCTAAACAAGCAAATATGTCAAAGTAGTACTCAGTGAATATATAGAACTGTCAATTTCATCTAAGGATCTTTGGAACAAATAATGAAATGCTTCCCACCATAGACCTGGCACCAGAATGGATTGCAAGCAAAACTAAGACCCGAACACTAACCTTGCATATCGGGCGATGGGGGTCTCGAAGATTGACAAGTAAATTGTCACTCTTCAAATCAAAGTGCACTATATTCTTTCCATGCAAATACTCCATTCCAAAAGCCACATCCATGGCAATCAAAAGTTGTTTACGCTTGTCAAGATTCCTGGAAAGAGCAAGTCGCCCAATAATTATTTATAATCAGATAAATGCTCGATTAAAACACACATTAGGAATCTTATACAGTATAGCAAACAAAACTAGAACTTTTAGTACCTCTCATTCTTTTGTAAAGCAGTCCTTAAAGAACCATTCACCATATATTCTGTCACTGTTGCCACAGAGCCACCAGGACCATCGAGAACAACACCATAGAAAGCCACAACATTGGGATGATGCAAGTCAGCAAGCTTAATTGCCTCGTTCCAAAAATCATCAATCTTATCATATGCATTTAGCACAGTACAAACTATTAGAGAGTGATATTTCATAGTCGAGCTACTATGGAGAAAATAGGAGCATGAAAAGACGAAATAAAAAGCCAGACCATCAGTTCCTGTTCAGAAGGTTTCCCTGCAAAACATCTATCATTGATCCGTTTGATTGCAACATCAGTACCCCGCCACTTCCCATGATAAACAGTACCAAAGGTCCCAGAACCAAGCTCTTGAAGTTCTTCAAGGTCAATGTTTTTTATAATCTGACAAGAATATAGGTAAACTTAAGGGCAAAAAGAGTTTAACATTAAAGCACAAACATCACAATGAAAACAATAAATTCAACCTGCAAGCAACCAATGCCATCTGAAACTCGAAAACCAATTTTTTTGCTGTCTGGTTGTTTGGTTTTGATTTCCTAAATTAAGAAAACAAAACATTAAAGATGGTCCAAGGAATGCATGTAGAGATTGAATGAAGAGATCTTAGATTGCACACCTCAAATTTAGCTTTATGCTGCATTTCAATGTTTCTAGTTGAAACATTTGTCTCTTGATCGCCTTTAAAACCAGATTTGTCAGTTGCTGCTGGTATGTCAGGATTGGAAGGGGTAGATGACTGGAAAACAGAAGCAGCGACTCCCTCAGCATTAGCTTGTAGTTCTTTCTTTATTAGTTCCTCAGCTGAGCCTTTGGCAGTGAAGGAAAAGACCATAAACATTTACTCCATGCAGAAATGCCAACATCAGTATCAAACAGAAATCAAATATCTCACCTTGTGTGGACTGTGTGTGGTCTGAAATGAAATCCTTGTTCAAATGATTTAATGGCAGGTAAACTTCATCTTGCAGTTGGGCTTTAGATTCACCACTGATTACTGACTCGTTCTCTTCAAAAGGGTCTATGGTAGCTAATCCCTCTCTCTGTGTTTGAATCTTGTTAGGTCTAGGAGGAAAGTGAGCATATTGCTGTAATTTCCAAGGATCTTGATTACTAAAGAGTGAATTCACAGAATCCAAAACATCTTCCCCTCTACCGGAGTTTGAAAAAGAAGTTTGGGTGTTGGCATTCAAAGGAGTATCTTCTGTATCATTCAGAACAATCTTCTGTTGCATCCACGGGACATTATCTAATTTATGTGCCGATTGAAGACCGGAAAATGGAGGGTTCCCATATTGAACTTCAACTGAATCAAAATTTTGCGCTCCAACTTTTGGTTGTGAATGTGTTATTACATTATCCAAAATACCCATATCATTAGAGTCTATTTGTTTGCTAAAGATACTGTCCAAAAGCACCTCTCTCCCTGCTACTTGTGGAGATCTTTCATCCAAGACATCTTTTCTGGTTTTGTAAACAGATGAATTACCCTGCTCACTGATTATCTTTAGTGACTCCAATATCCCATCAACTGGGATTAGAGGGTTTGGGTCTACATTATCTTGTTTGGGGATAGTATGAATATTGCCATGGTATTCTCTTGAGGCTTCAGGCACTGGCTGCTCTGAAGCATGAACGCCAATTGCCCCAGTATATGGAACCTCCTGTTTAAGCAAGTATTGAGACGGCAAAACATATTGTGATTGTAACTCACCTGCTATAAAACCCTGACTTAATGGAAACCTAGGATGCTCAGAATTATCAGTTCTCGAGTTAATATTTTTTTCAAGTTCATTTTGTATGTCAATACCTTGAGAGAATCCAAGTGCATCTGACTGAAGTCTTCCAATTTGATGGTCAATGTGAGCACGCTGTACAATGTTATCCCCTAATGCTCCAGTCACAACTTTGTTTGCTGATGAAAACTTCATACCATCTTCTAGACGCACATCTTCTGGACGCAGACTTTGACAATTTGAGTTTATATTTACTAAAGGTGTTGCACTGATATTTCTTTCATCCTTCACCAAAGGATCAGAATGGGCATGAGGTAAAGCCTTCTGACACATACAACAGTCTTCTAGCCTTGGAATTTTCTCATGAATAATTGCTTGTTGTAGCTGAACTACAGTTGGTCTAATACCAACATGGGAAGTGGAGGGAGTCATTGTCTTGTGCATAGCAGGAATCAACTGATGAGAGGCAACATTATCACAGAAATGTTGTTGGCCGAATATAGAATCAGTGTTGCCCACCAACGTAGGATTTGAGTACCCCATTTGAGGTGTAAGATGCACATAATCAGAACGATTTATAACATCATGGCCAGAAACAATATGCGTAGATCCATAATGTTGTGGCATATCATATCTCACTTGTTGAGGTGTGGACTCAACCTCAGGTTCAGAAGACAATGTTTGAGGAGGAGCAGACTTAATCATTGGAATTCCTAAATGAACAGCAGAATAATCTGCATAAACAGCCGGATTAGGATCCACAACCATTATTTTTGGACCAGTATCAACAGAAGTAGCTGAATTCCCTCTGGGTGACAACATGCTTGTTGATGGAGCCCCACTAACATCCCCCTGGCTTACACCAACTGTATGAACAACCTCACTCCCACTAAAATTAGAATTCCGTGTGGAAGCCAAACTTGCTAAGCTCTCCTTCTGAATAATGCTACCAGCCGATCCTTCCACAATTCTATTCACTGCCTCAACATATTTCTGCCCATTGTCAATTAAATCCCCAAATTGAACCATACCAGAAGGATCAAACTCCGAAGCCGAAAACAAAAATACCCTTAATTTAGCTGACCCATCTGAAGACCTTTCAACCACTTTGTCGTACTCATCCATCATATTGTCAAGATCATCCAGGGATGAAATAGATACCAATGAATCGAGATCCTCATCAGGAAGCTGGCACTTAATAACCACAGGTTGCCCATAAGCATCTACCATCTTTTGCACAAACTCATTAAAGCTCACATCTCTCCTGAGCCTGATAATCCTTGTCTGCCCCCCAACATATCTCAACACCCCATCACTAGGTCTAGGCAATATCTTCCCCCCGAAACTAAACAAAATCTTAACCTTTTTTCCTGACACCGAATCAGCCCCACCCTCATCACTCACCTGATCAGCCCCGCTGCCATTGCTTCTGAGTCCTAAACTTGGTTTATGAGCAAGCCCACCCAATAATTCATTATTCAACTGATCATTTCCACTGCCACTGCCCCTATTTCCAATATTGGAACTTGATCCAAAACCTGTTGGCTTAACATCATTACTCACTTGTTCACTTCCATCCCCACTGCTTCTATTGCCCAGACTAGGACTAGAACCATGCCCAGGCACCATATCGTTACTAACTTGATCCACAGCATTAGCGACAACCATATTGCTCAAATTGGGATTATAGCCAAACCCATCAACAGGGTTCATACTTGGGCGCCCAAGCGCCATAGGCGCAGGCATTGGCATTAGAGGCCTCAATGCAGGGGCGCCCGGTGCCTAGGGTACTGCATTGGCATACCCTAAACCTACAAAACCAGCATTAGTCATGGTTGCTGGATAAAAAACAGTCATGGTACCAGGACTTACAGGCTCCCGAGATGGGTTGGGAAAAAACCCTTTGATGTTTCTACCAGTGACATTATCAGTAGCAGCAACGCGGGGCTCTTCAGTTATAGTTCTAGCCACATTCAACGGTCTCAGATCTTCTGGTATAGCGTTGGGATCAAATGCCATGATCAAGAACACAGGATTCAGCTAAGCTTAGACTAGTTAAAATCAAGTGCAAAAGAGATAAAGCTAGGGTTTTGGTTTCTGGATTTTGTTTATTCCCGTACAATATACTAGAATTTTCATAAGATCTCTGAGAACAGCAATAACACTTCTTTTACATAAAAGGGTATTACTACTATTTCCTAAAAGCAACAAAAGGAGCTAAAAAATTAAAAATGAAGACTAATAGCGGTGAGAGGGAGAGAGAGAAGATGAGGGCAAACGAGACAGCGACAGCGGGTCAACGGTGGTCCGGAACCGCCTTTGATCCAGGGCATTTTCGGAGCTTACGACGAATCATTAACTCTCCTTTTGTCTCTCAACTGCCTATCTACCTCTGTTTCTCTCTCAGGAAATCCAATCTTTTGGCGCCTAGGTTGTTTTGAGAATCATACTCACCGGGTTTTTTTTCCTGGGGTTTTGATTTTCTCGATAAAACCAATGAGATTGAAATTGGCTGGCAGTGATTTTTTATTTGTTATTATTTTCTCCCGAAGGTGCAAAGGTTAACAAATGGGAGAAAACAGGGGGATTATGGGTGACGACACGTGGATGGATTCATGCAAATGCTCAGAGAGAATCGTAGGATGATTTTGATTTATAAAGATAAAACAGAATGATTGTGACGACTTCAATTTCTATAATATGGACTTGGGTTAAATCCGCATCCTTTAAAAATGAACGAGATTTATATGTTATACAATACTTGAACATGAGGTTAATTAAGCTAATATTGCAATAATAAAAATAAATTATATCAAAATGAAAACTTCCTATCTATGAGAAGAAAGAAGAAAAATAAATATTTTAATTCAATTAATGTTGTTGTTATTAATTTAATTTAAAAATAATAGATTTAGACTCGATTAAATGCATACTATTTTATGAAAATGAAAATCGATCATACATAACAATAACTTGAAAAGCTACAAACTATTAGCATCCTATCAACTTCATGCGAAGGTGAATGGTGGTACATCCACTGTCCTACGGGTTGACCACGAGCCATCCACACTAGGCCATCACCTTGGTCGTATCTGAGAATTCCACATGTCGATCCGCTCTTAACCACCTTGTCCGCACTTGCTTTAACCCATTCTTCTAACGGTATTCTCCACAGTATCAAGCCATTACTCTCATCTTGTAGCAGCAGAAACATGTGACTCGTCCCTTCAAATCGTCTATTCTCCGGTAATCAATTGCTCTTATCCATCATTGTTTCTCGCTTCGAAAAAATTTCATCCAATACCCTCTTATTCCTTCTATTCTATAAGCTCCAACAGACACTATGGAATAAGATACCTCAGTTCTCACCAATACCTGCAGTAGTGTGATATATAATATATATTGAATTTTATTTAAAAATCACTATTTTAAAAAGAAGTCATATGTCATGTTCTTAGAATACCACATAACTTTTCAATGAAAAATAAGTATGAATTATGTGTATCATTATTGAAAAATTCAAAGATCAAACTAAACAAAATAGATATTAAAATGCTAGTGAAATACAACTTAAAGAGTTAAATAATGCATTTAACCTTAAAGTAATATATAATAAATTCAACCAAATTCATCCAAAAAAAATACAATTATCTATGAAAGTGCCAAGGCATTTTATTTATTTATTTAATCTATTTATCCTTTATTGAAATTTTTTACGTATAAATCATGATTTTTCCAACACTATTTGATGAAGGAGATTGTGTCAGTCTAGATATGAAATTTCTATTAGGAAATCCATCAAATCCTATGCGTAATCATATTGGAATTCCACCGAGCGTCGTCTCCTATGCCAGATATCATAGCTTTTATTATGGCTTAGACTACGACGATGAATAGAATTACCATATCCAATGCGCTTAATCAAATCACGACATTTATGTTTAAATGCTTTGGGGCTTGAAGTAGGGGTAGGATGAGGTGTTGTCGGCACAATCAATATTTGTCGATCGTAATCATGATGGTCGCGGTGGCGCAGCTATAGGAGGCGAAGTTAAGTTTTCAACTTCTCTTTTAGAGATGATGGTAAAGGTGGTTCATTTTGGTTGTTCATTACCCTATATTTCTTTTCTTTTCTTAATAGAAAAGAAAAAAAAACTTTTAAAATTTTCAGGTGTAAAAATTCGAATATAGGGTGGGGAAAGAGATGAAATTACCAAAAGTAGACCAATCCTACGGAAACATTTTTAATACCTGAAACATGCAAAATTTACTTTTGTATAAAAGTTTACTAGTCCAAACTCGAACTTGTTCAAAAACTGTTTATTTATAACCCTATTCGAATCACTAGATAACGCGATTCGAAGTCTCATATCGGGAGTCATGGCTCTTATTATTCAAATAATGCTATCAGCATTCAAGCAGATGCTTCGGCAGCAGTGGAGACTTTCTTGATGACATATATAGGGTCTCCCACTTTAACCATCTTTGCCTTCCCTTCAGTTAGACTTTCCTTGCAAACCAAGTTCTGGCCGAAGTAGATCTGCCATATAATTGGACAAATAGTTAAATACAGATCGTTTATGCGGACAGTACTTAGAAGGATACAAGCATTGCAGCAGAATAGCTTTTAATTTACATCTTACCTTCCCTTGCTGCCTCTTGTCCGGTCGCAAAACCTTATCCGACCTGAATTTCATAAGTGTTTCATTAGGCTCCGGTCCAGCAATTGCAGTATCTTGGTTGATTGTAGGTACCTGATAAATGCACAATCATCTTTTTAGTTTTTAGCTATTTGAGGATAGAATATGCTTAAGCACGTGTAGTTATTAAAATCGTAAGATACTTGAAATGAAAATTAATTTTTCAGGAAATAAGCTGAAAATGCAGGAAGATTAGCTTCATACCTTACAGCGGGAGCATAGTTTCACACCTTGAAATGAAAATTGGCTAATCTTAATCTCTGTCCACAGGTCTTCGGAAAACGGCTCACAACCGACAACAAGGATGCTATCACAAGCAAAGTAAATGAAGTAAAAAATTCATAAATAATACAGAAAAGGAGAGGTAATCGAACTTAAGAGTCAAATACATGTTTTCCACTGGAAATATCACGAGAGGAATCTACTAAGATACTGAATTTGAAGGATTAGGTGAATCCTGTGGAAGTGTTGTTTATGGCAGCATGCTAAATAAAAACTAAGGGTACGAGCCTAAAGGAAAAAACAAATACTTCGGTCTGAAACGATTAATTGGTACAGGTTCCTTGAGAAGCTTGTTCAGTGCATCCAAAGATTCCTGCAAAAAAAATTGTACTTACAACATCAGGTTTGAGCTTTATTATCATCATCGTTAGCATCGCCGTTGGAACAAAAATGAAAATCATTTTTGAAGCTGGCCAACCTGAGATATTAGCATGAATGGGTACTGATCGGAAAACATTACGAAATGCCCTTGCGCATACTCAGGATCCACAGGCCTAGTTTCTGATGCTGCATTAATTAAATAATGTTGTAACCAAATTGTTGGCCATATAAATATGAGACTAAAACTATCTTAATATGCAGCACTATGCCGACATGGTTGTAGCATACTAGCATTTATAACACCAAGCAAGAATATTATATCATTGTCTTTCCCTTTTAAAACCCAAATGAATGCACTTAATGTCCTATTGATCGAAATGTATTTGAACCAAACCAACCTGCATTAAAACGAACCATTCGACTGGGTTTCCCAAGATAATCTGTAAACCATTTTGAAGCCTCGTCACCCTCATCCAAAGCAGAGCCAGACCATTCCCAAACTGAAACACCATCTGCCACTTGTGGTGGTTTACAAAGTGAGATCTTGAGTAAATCCATTCCAGGGGCTTTTATTTCTGCAAATGAAAGTAAATAATGGTCATGACAGAAAACCTCTTGAAAATTCTAACGGCAGTCGTGATCTGCTAGCATTAGACAACGGTAAATTAAAGAATAATGATAAAACTTTAGAACATCCCTATACTGCTAAGGAGAAGGGGCATAGCATTACAACTTTACAATATAGAACCACACAGCACCAGCGTAGGACATTAACAATATCAAATAATTAACCACACCTAATATAGAGAATCTGAGTTTCCATGATAAGAACAAGGGAACCAAACTTGACACCTCAATGGGAGAATCAAAAGAAATTGATGATATCGGTCTTTTTTACTATTTACACAAAATCTAGATAAATCATTTCAATGATTTTTTTACATGGTCAACTTAGATAGCCAATGATTATACGAACATGAAACACTATGATTTCTACAATTAGGGATTAGATTGTCGGCCTCACGCAATATATATGTTGAGATGCTATGGTGCAGAAAAATGGTGTAGCTCAGGTAATAGGAAAGATTTGGCAATTGGCATCTTTAAATCTTTCATCGACTCCAGCATCATACTAACTAAAAGGGAGAGAAAAGGAGCATGTAAGAAACACGAAATAGTTCAGGATTAAAGGTAAGTTTAATTTAGTTGATGTTCCAGGAAAAAAATATAGTGAAGCCAGTTTTTAAAACATTAAATCACAACAAATATTGCCATGTAAAAGCACAATTCTACTTCAAATGAGCAATATACAACTCATCACTTGCAATATCTTAGTTGTTAAAAACTAATCAGGCATGGATAATAATGAGTTGGTTTTACCCATATAGGAGTTCTTGGTAGGCTCCCAACCCTCTGAAAAAGCTTCCTTTGGCAGATTTACCTCGATTAGAGCAAGCTTCGGTTGAACCCTTTGAGTATATGCCCTCCCTTTCTGATTCACAATGAGCCATTGCCGATCCCATCGAAACCCTGTACATCCATCATCAGACGCATGTGAAAAAGAAATAACTGTTGCTTGCATAAAGAAAAATTGAACAAATTGATAGATTGTTGAAGCTTTGAACAGGCCTAATTAAGATAACTATACTATTTATTTCAAAAGATTCTAAAAGCTTGCTAATAATGTGTTTTAAGAGTTGCGTACACTCTTTTAAACTTTTGGAGAAGACAGCAAGTTGGTATGTGCAAATAAAGTTGAAAACCCCAAAGCAGTGTGACAAAATTATTAATAATTCCCCAGATTACAGAAAAAGGAAAAATAAAGTGATTCAAACAATAATCGCTTTCCTTATCCATTGTTGTTGTTTCCAATGTCATTTGGATTAACCTAATGAGTAATGAACGAGTGATCACATTGAAAACTCTGAATAGGAGTGATGTAAAATTTGGGTTTGGCACCAAAAACAGAAAGAGAAACCAAATTCTCCACGCAAGTATTAGAGTTGGAATTGCAGAGTAGTACGTTCGTTTGTGTTAACAGGCGAAACACAATAAAATAACAACAACCCGGCTAATAATCTGTAAGTATAAAGAACGGAAATCAAAGGGAGAATCAGTTAAAAGTATCGGGTCTTCGGAGAAAATATACAGAGAAGAAGAGAAATAAACCCAAAGTGGGGAGCTTGAAGTTGAGGAAACAATTCAAAGCATCAAAGACATAGATGCAAAGAAATAGAAGAAAAAAACCAGTAGGAGTGAGGGGAGCTTGAGGGACAGAGATTCCACGGCATGATTTGATGGGATAGATAAAGATTGATGATATCTTAGCATCAGCAGCAGTTCCGGTTGATGATGCACTCTTCTCCATCTCTTCTTCTTTCAGGCAACGATATTCTTCAGTTCCCAAGCAAGCGAAGACCCTTCTTCTTTTTCTTTAAGAGCAGGCTTGTTGAACTGGATTCCCTACCAAAAACGTGAATTGCACTTCCTTTATAATGAACTTCCAAACTGGGATAAGAAGAGTGGACCGCCCTCAATCCCAAGGAGCAGGCCCACACCCTTTACCTACTAAAAGTACTTTACTTTTCTTTTCGAATGCGCGTTACAATTTGGGCGCCACTACCTCACAATCCATGATTCTCAGAGAATCACAAACAACAGACCCCTATTTTTTTTTCTAGAAATACATATATTATTTCTAACTAAATAAAAATTAATATTAAATGTACGATAGATATAAATAAAATTTAATTGAATACAGGTCCCTAAGTCATTTGAGCTTGAATTAAGATTCTATTAATTATAATAAAATGTTATAAAGATATAAATAAACTTTAATACCAACCAAAATATGCCAACGAGTGTTGGCACACGTGGTTGTGATTTAGAAATTTGAGTTTGTAAGGTCAAATTTGAATCCTACCATTGTCACTTTTGGTGAACATTCTGTAAATTCTTATATAAATCTTAATTGGGTCTTAGGTGTTCCCCTCATTAACTAAACTTTATTATCATAAAAAAAATACCAACCAAAGTACAAATTCGATAACAGGCAGGGTGGCAGAAAGATGAGGAATACTTAACTGAGGCTCACTGCCTTTGCCATTGCATTTTTCATCATTCCACCATTATTCTTTCCCCAAAATTTTACAGTAATACCGTTACGATTTCATCAACAACTTCATTCAACTTCCTATTTTAAATCTTGAGATACTCGCAGAGGACGAGAAGAACACGAACAAACAAATGGAGACCATGATATTTTCTGCATTCATAGCATGTTCCAAATACTGACCATAGTTCTGTAATGTTTTTTAATAAGCATCCTCCTTGGCTTTTCAACATATGCTAATCTGTCTACATTCCGATCGAGTTAAAAACTAATCTAAAACAATATCTGCTCTTCATAGATGTCCAAAGCCTTGATAACCTTCTCAATGAATAGTTTCCGGTGCAATCTGTACCTGCATATGTAAAATGTAAGAGGGACTTCAACTTGGACTGTAATTAAGGAACATGTGAAGAAAAAAGTAAGGTATATGTCAGAATATAATACTTGATTGCTGTTTCAAGTGTCCTCCTTGCTTCTGGCACAGAATCTGTTGGCATAAAAAGTAAACATAAAGTAAATTATACTGATGTTCTAGATGATCAGAATAGTTTCTAGAAGTAATAATTTCGATTTCAAATCCGAACAGATGTAATTTTTTTATCGTACTTTAGTTAACATAATAAAAGTAGCAGATGCTCGACCATAAACCATGAAAATATCTTGGCACATCATTTTTAAAGGAATTTGGATTCTGCAAGCTTTCGGACAGTCAACAAGTTAACGTCCAACTCATATTATCGTTAATTTTTAATGGAAAATGACTAGTTTGAAACATAATGAATAGTCGGGTTATTATTTTGTAACTTTCAATAGTCGATGGACTCAACAAAGCAACTCTCTATAGTCGGGGGACAATTTTATAACTTTTAATAGTAAGGGGACTCAACAAAGTAGTATCCTATAACCAAAGGACCATTTGTGTACTTTACCTAAAATTTTATAACGAATTTTTGTATATGGATTTGTCTGTCTCAATTATGATCTTTTATGCATGAAAAAAATATTAGAATACATAAAAGATGGGGTAAACAGAAACAGTTGTGTTAAATATAGCTATCCTACTGAGAGCGCTTGAGGCATTTAAGATGGGGTGAACACATCCATTAGAATGTATCAGTTGAGAGTAAATATGCTCCCGAATCATGTTGAAGAGACCACACCTCATATGCATGGTCCACCAAAATCTTGGCTCTTGAGTCCCCAACATATAAGCCCACATGTAAGGGTGACCACTGACCACTCGAACACCATAATCAATAAGTGAAACATGGTGGGTCTAGCCCGAAATCCATGTATGGTTCAATATATGAGTAGAGAAAACACACCAGGCCGATTTACAGATAAGGCTCCATACCTACTCTCATTTAAGACTGCCCTATTTTCATTGAAAATCTTAGGTGGTCCTCCATTTCTGCACTTTTTTTATTCTTATTTGTACACTTATATTAAATTATGTCCACATTTCTGCTCATTTTTTATGCTTATTTGTACACTTTTATTAAATTCTGTCCGGATCCCATTTTTCATATTGAGACATCTCCTGTTAAGATCTAAGATCATTCTCCAACCAACGCAGTTATTAAATCCATAAATATTTTATGTTATTCGAGTGATTTTGATTCTATGAATAATGTAAAACATAAAACAGTCCTCCATAAAGGGTGCATCATTACTCAATCTTCAATAGTGATGGTTTAACAGATTAGTATATATGATAGTAAATAAAATACAATATTATATATATACAAAGACTCATTCTCTAACCCTAAAAACACTGCAGCATTCCTGGAAAGCTGTCAAATTTCTCATTCCTTTACTTACCTAGAAAACTTTTGCTTCTTCTTCTTCTTTTAAATATTGTCTCTGATTTCCCCCTACACTCTTAGTTGTGTATTGGAGGTTTTCTCCTGGCTTGGGAATAGTCCATTTCAGCTATCTCCATGATGTCCGCATACTGGTCATGGATCTCGGAAGTTGTCGGCGAACCAACAGGGAATTTCTCTTGCTGTTCACCATTTCCTCGGTTCACTAATTCGACTTTTGAAGTAGTGCTAGCTTTGTCATCTCCACTGTCTTCGCTCTGGATACATGCAGAGAACATAATGTCAAAGAGAGTTGCAAATGTCGGAATTTGAAGAGTCAATCGACTAAATACCAGGTTCGAGAAATAAATTACTATGTTAACCAACCTTTGAACTGGTGGAAGATGCAGGAGTTGCAGTAATAAGTTTCCTACTGTCTCCTGCAGAAAAAATGAATGTGAAAAAGTTGAGTATCAGTTGGTGTAAGAGACAAGGTGAACTTTTCTAGAGTTTTGATCGACATTTCAGCAAGTTCGATTTCTACACCACGCATTTCTTTAACAAAATGCTCCATATAACCACGGATGGACTTAGAGGGAGGCGGGTGGGAGCGGTCCTCTCACCCTTAAAAATTTCAAATTCCTATATATTTTAGATATTTTCTTTTCATTTCCTATTGTAAATATAGGTGTTTTATCCCATAAAATTTAATAAGTTATTTCCTACTTAAAATTTTATAAGGTTGTCTCCTAACATGAAAACATGTATCCGTCCCTGCATATAACATATAATTGATCCAACACAAAGAGGAATTAATCACAGTTTTGAGAAGCTTCATCTATCCCTGGTAATAAAAAATATGGAAGAAAACTGTTCCTAGGGGAGGTTAAATCCTTGGTCCACTGTAATCTTAATGAATGCATGGTAGTCAGTGCCAGTGGTGTGATTTTTTTTCCCTTCTGGTTACCTGTACAATGTCCTTTGCAGAAAATGACATCTCCCAAAACTCCATTACTGTTTTTCATCAAAGCTTCTTCCTGCATCAAAACAAGGTCCTTTCTTTATCTTAAAGCTCCTTAAATTATATTGAACTGAATGCATAAAAAATGAAGGAAATTGGATACCAACATGCAATTTAGAATGCCATGATGGTTTAAAACTTTTCTCCGATCGAATCCCTTCAAAAAAACAAGAAGATAAGATGTCAGACTTTAATTTATAAGTAATGGAGGCTTTATTGTGTTATTGAGAAAGAATTGTGGGATTTTACCTTCAACACTAGAAAAGACAACCAACAACACCAGAGAAGATACTGCTAGACCGGAAGGACTCATTTGCAGGACTAAAAAACAAAAGTGCAGATAAATTGTTAAGAAATATGATGGAATTCTTAGGTTCAGTAAAAGAAATCTGAGTTTCAATCTTTGGTTTCTCTTTCTTTTCTTTTTTGTATTAGGAAAGGAACTTTGAATGCAAGTCTCCTCATGAATTTCTACACCACTGGAACTGCCTGCCTTTATTTATACTACAACTTCGCTGTAAGGACCCACTTCATGTTCCTATATTCAACAACTTGAAATTTAATATATATATATATATATATTATCTATTCAAATATTATCTGATATATTTTATATGATGTTAAACCTTAATTTTAATTCTCAATTCTTTAATTTTAAATTTTAAACCCTAAAATCATAAACCATATATATAAATATTAAAAGTTTGTTAATAAAATATTATTTTTACTTTATGTGCATGAAATAATAATATTTGTAGTGCTGTAATGTTCAAAATTATAAACTTTACCCCAAATGCCCCATAGTTCAATCACGGATTGTGTGTGGGTCTTGTTGGAGGATACATAACCACAGACCCACATAGGGCTTTATGGGGGCAGGTTTTAAATTTTCGAATGTCAAAATGAAACCCAATAAAGATGATAAATTTTAGGAGAACGCTAACCGGTGTTAGTGTTCAGTGGTATTAAATAAATAAGTATATTCATATAGGAATATTTAATATATATTATTAAAATAAATCTATCCTATTATTAACATGCCTGGCTGAGTTAATGTCTCACAAATTAACACGATATCAATTCAAATTTATGGCAATAGAAAAAAAATTAATTTTCGTGATTAGACAACTGTATGTACTATATATTTTGTTTGATTGCGCATATTGTGTCGTTACATTTTAAGCTCTGGTGTCACCTCTTAAGGTAAAGTCAGCTCTTGACGAAAGCTATAAAAATGGCGGGTGGGGGAGGAGGGGACATTCCATTTAAATGAGTAATCAAATCAGATATACAGGAGTGATTTTTTACTGAATGATTGAATCGTAATTATTTTAAAATAAATTTTACACTTTTAATTTTTAATACTAGATTTATATCATTTAAATATCTCCTGTAATACGAATCATAAGATTCTAATTATTTTAATGTAGTTAATTTAATATTTTATATATTATATTGATAATAATATTAATTAAATTATACCGATTTTAGATATTTTAATAAAATTTAAATAAAAATGATTAAATTTGAGATTTGAGTGAACTGGATTAATTATAGGTTGGACGGTTAGCATTTGGGGGAGAAAAGGCGGGCCAATTTCCACGTGTCACAGGAAACAAGGAGATTGAATGTGACGGTGACAGAGAAGGGTTAAAGTCACCCCTTGTATTGACAGAGCAGTTTTGTCTTTAGCTGCCCAATTAGGAGTTCTTAATGATTTTAGTAACTCGAACTAGAATTGATTAAAATTAGGTTAAAATTTGATTCGAATTAGTTTGATTCTAGATTTTAATGAGTTGAGTCGAAAAAAGATTAACTTAACTCGATAAATTCACGAGCAGCTATTAAATTTTAATAATTATTTTTAAAAATTATTAATTTATTTATAGATAATGAAAAATGATAAATTACTAACCTTAATTTTCTAATAAAAATAAAGAAATACTAAATATTAATTAATAATTATTATTTTACTACACCCAGAATTAAACCTTAAATTATTATATATATATATATAGATTGTTATTTTGGAGTTTAAATTTTAAAATTACTTCATACATTCTTTCGATAATTTTAGATTAAATTTATTAATTTATATTTATCTTAAATTATACATCGTTTAGTAGATTTTACTTATAATTATAAAAATAAAATAAAAATTTTGATGAGTTTAACGAATAACGAGACGAACAATGAATTTAACAAATAACGAGTTTACCAAGCAACGAGCTAACTAGTCGAGTTGACCAATATAACATTTTAACAAGTATGAGTTGAGCACTACTCAACATGCAATCGGCTCATAAGTACCTAGTGCGGCCACTCCACGAGGAAGTCTACATTCACGGGACCACAAAGGATTACATGGCAGGTGATTGGGCCACGTGGGTATAGCCAGTTCACGTTGCATGTTTTCACTTAGGCCAACAGCAAAACATATTCGACACTATCAGATTCAAATAGCAGAACGCAACTGTAATAACGGCTGTTATTTCGCGGTAGTGTTATCGTTTGAAATCAATATTCGAGAAAATTATGGTGGGTAACGAGATCACGTAAATAACAGTTAGTTGCGCCCGTAATTTAACGTGTAATAGTGTATAGCGTCGATAACGAGACACTATTACCATTATCTACTGCTACTATGAAAAAAAAAGGCAAAACCGAAACCTTATGTGCGCCGTCGAGCTTCTCCGCTGGTGAAGAAGTTGAGCAATAACGATGGGCTTCCACTTTGTAAAAGATAAAACTTGAAACTTTTTTTTTGTTTAAAAATAACGAAGGTCGGGGTGGGGGACGGAGAGTTGAGAGTGATAGCATTTTTTTTTGTTTCAGACAATGAAAGGTGGAGGAAGGAGGAGGGAGGGAGAGTTGTCACATTTGTTTTATTTTTTATTTTTAAATATAATTTAAATGATATATTAATTTGACATCCTTTCACCTTTTAGAATTTATAATTTAATCATTAGTTTAAAATATAAACTTTAATTTTTATTTAATTTAGTCTTAATTTCAGTAGTCTAAATTCCTGTAATTTAAATTTTAAATTTAAATTTAAATTATATTTAATTTAGTTATTTTAAGGTAAATTGTGCGACATTTAAAAAAAAATCATGACCGCGACACCCGCAATGACATTAGTTATGTCCACAAACGTGATAAACGTAACGCGACCGAAAACGCAACCGCGAATATTATTTAAATCCATTAACACTATTCTGTCCAAGAGTTGTCATTTGGCGGTGCGACTCTCGAGAGAATATTTACTAAATCAAATATTAGTTAGACGAAAGCTTTAGTTTCCGAATTACACAAACACCAGATGATCTTATCTAATTGTTACCAGTACCTACTGTAACAATAGTTACAATTAACCGAACCCCCTTCAAGCTTGGCCAACGAACAAGGTCATCCACCGGTAATAGTGGCAACTCAACTTCTTTTTTGGTCCAAAAAGACAACACAATTTAAACGAATCCTTGATCGATATATATAAGCATTGCACTGCCAATTTGGCGACATTTGTCTCACCATTCCAAAGCGTTGCACCAAAAGCAATCTTTCTTCCATGTTGGAATTAATCTCTCATGTCCATATTATATATCGGTTTATTGTTACTTTCTACGTCTTCCCATACCTAGTATTTCCCCCATGCAAGTTCACGTGTTTTGTCCTGCATTAATTCTCACATGGAGCGGCGTGAGCTTAGCCCTTATATGTGAGCCCATCCTCTTGAGTCTCAACCTTGTTACAATATGGCGTTAGCGCTCCGGGGAAGGTTGCCGATGAATGCACCTACCGCCGACACGATCCAATTGCTTTGTACATGGCCTTTGTTGGAAACACAAATTTTAAGTCTCCCTTTTTGGTCGTTCTTAAACGAGGTTAATAGATGTTTCATTGTATCGGTTAATCGCATCATTTAATCTCTCTTAGAGGATTAAATGCTTCCTTATTATTTTAGAAAATGTTTAAATTTAATTTAATTGTAAAAAAAAGTTAAAATAATACATATACGTTATTTTTAAAAAATATCATAAATTTAAACATTTATTCTTAAATTTCTAAATTCGCTGCCGTCTTATAGGACTAAATTGTACTGAACAGGTAATGAATCCCACCACCTGGCACGGTTCATGTCCTTGGACGGCAATATAAATTGTGTTGGGTGGCAGAACCTATGTGATTGTCTCGGTCAATTGTTTATGCCAAATAAATAAATAAACACACTTTTAACTTAATTATTTTGTTTTTAAGTTATTTGAAAACACATTCTTAAAATATGACCTCCATTCTAAATTGATCCTTAAGCTTTTGAATATTTCAATTTCATCACAAACTATGATTCATTATAAATTAATCCTCAAAATTTTGAAAATTCCAATTTCATCCATAAACTAGGACTCTTATTATAAATTAATCTTCAAACTTTTTAATCTTCCAATTTCATCCCCAAATTCATCCAAACGTGTAATTAGTTTCAACTATAGTTTAACCTAAATTTTATTTTACTTTACAAACATATAATAATATAGTTTGACCTAACAATTTTATTAATAGGGTTGTGATTAACATATACTAATATTTTGGTAAGAAATTGAAACGTTCAAAAGTTTAAGGACTAATTTAGAATAAGTGTCATAGTTTGGGTATGTAATTGGAATATTTAAAAGTTTGAGGATTAATTCAAAATGAGGGTCATAGTTTATGGATGAAATTGGAATATTCAAATATTTAGGTATCAATATAAAATGAGATTCATAGTTTGAGGATATGTGAGGCAATTGATTATTTTCTTTTTTAAAAAATGCCGGTAGATTCAGGCCTGGTCCAATACTATTTTAGCAGGCCATTATGGTTAGATGAGTGACTTGCAGTTCAAGCCCTTTAATAGCATTGCCAAAGCACGGAATGCGCAAATGTGTAAATTAGCTAACCCAATTTTCATATGTAATAGGGTAAGGGGAGGTAGGGTAGTAGGCTGCCCCCAATTCAGGTTGAGAGCAGCTTACATAGAATACCTACGTTATGAATTGCCCTCAATGGGACTCGATCCCACGACCACAAGGTTAAAAGCAGAATTTATATTTCTTTGGAACATACAAGGGCAATGGTTCAGGCGGCTGAAGTAGTAGCACATAGCTGAAGAATGCCTTTGTCAATTGTACGACGAATCAAGTCAAAAAGTTCATCTCCAATCCCAAATCCAAGCATCCTAGCCATGTCAGTCGTTTTCAATCTGGGTTTTGGAATGCCATGTTGTTTAAGCCAAGAATACACAACGAACACCTTCACGATGAACAATTCCAAGGCCTTGGGATTAAATACAAACCCCATTCTCCTGCCAACAAATTGTTAGCCCATGGAAAAACTTTCTTGCATCAATCAAATAATTAGATGGTGCATTTCAATCCTGTATGGTACTTGGTGGGGGACTAACATGGCAGCATAACGAGCTAATTCCCCAG